GGGCCCGCAGCGCCATTGCCGGCCATCCGAAGCGATTTTTCAAACTCCTCGAACGTGGGAACGTAGGCAATATCACGCGCGGCGCCACCTAAGCCCGCCACGCTGTCAAAACAAACTGCTTCGAACAGATCAGGCGAAATGGTGGCTGCCAGCTCGTGGGCAGCGAAATGCTGCATCCATCTGTCGTGGGCCTGCACCGCAGTCGGCAACAACTCGCCATCAGGTCCCTAGATAGCTGGCAAGACCTCATGTTGTCTGTGCCGCTTCCCAGCAGCTCCTAGGAGCCGAAGGGCCGAACATGCCGAGGCAAAACCCCTAGCGGACCACGTGTCCCCGACCGATTTAGCAATATCCTGAAGTTTTCTGTCAGCTTCACACCTGATGGCGTCGTGAACCTGCTTAACCTGTGGCATTAGGTACCAGTGCTGAAGCGACGCGGTGCGAAAGGCAATCGCCCGTGCCATGCAACGCAAACGATGGAACGAGACTGCTCGATCCTCCCCTGTCCACGTGCGCCCTGGCATCCCTGGCGGGAACATCAGGAAAGAGACGGCAGCACAACCAGAGTTCGCCGGTCGCCTGCGATTGCGCGCCCTCTGGCATCGCAACTTCCACCTGGCAGGCAAAAATGCGCGAACTACTTCTGCCACTTGCTTGCGTGGCCGACCCGCGTCAGCACTGACGTGGAGAACGCAATCAGGTGCATGTCCAGTCGTGCCAGAATCCTGCCGAACCCGAGAGAGGGCATGGGCGCGCAGTCTCCATGCGCTGCATGTCCTGGCCAGGAGCCGTAAGCATGACTGTCCTCTAGCGAAAGCAGGCTCCGCAGATGACAGAACTTGGCCTCCAGGGGCCTGGTGCGCATGACGCGGCGCCGCAAAGTCGGACCCTGACCCGAGGAACCAACGCCCAGACCTGGGTGGGACCATGCAGGGGGACTTCCAAGCCAGAAGGACCAGACGGGACCATAATCGCGCAGCCAGCCCCCCCAACCGGAGAAAGCGCGCGCCTGGGCGAACGAAGGGCAGAGACTTGCGCGCGAGCCTGCTCGGAAAGACCACTCGCCCGCTTATTTGGATCCACTCTTAAAAACTTGACCATGCCATGGCGAGCGAAACAGAGACCTGTGTGCAATGCTGTGACGGGGGCAAACCAAAATGGAATCCCCCTGGCACATCGACGGAAACTGCCGCCTGCTCGGGATGTCGAGCAGTTCTATCCAGGCCTAAGCCGCTGCCATCGGGTCTGCAAGCCGCCCAGGCCATGGACGCACAGGGGGGGGGGTCAACCACCTTCAGCGCAGCAAGTGCGCACAATGAGTCGGCCATTTCATCGAGGGCGTCTCCCAAATGAGATTTGGCACGGCGAACGGTGGTAGAGGCGATCTGTTGGAGAGCTAGGGCCAGGGACCTTCGGCACTTAGCCAACCCCGCAACTTCTGGCAACCCTCCTAGGCCAGGGGCCGCTCGAAGGACTGCAATATTATCAACGTGAAAACTAACGTCCTGGCAGACTGCAGCGCCCAGGCCGTGGCCCAAAACAATGGCGGCGGCCTCCGACGCCATGCTGGAGTGAGCCTTGCAGATAGACATGGCGTCCAGGTCGAGCACCCCTGCAAAGAAACCCCCGAATTGCCGCGGCCCCGAAAGCTGAAGCAACGGCGCGACAAACGCCCGTGAACGCGCAGCTTCTCCCCCTCCACCCGACCCATCCGCGTAGACGAAGGCCCGGCGCGCACTCGGGCCCTCGGGGGGGGGGGGGGGGGGGGGGGGGGGGCCGACGGAAGGGGGGGCGGCGTGGAAGCAAAGAACGCTCGATGTCCTGCCGTCTCCTTGCGGGGGCCCACGACCAGGGTGCCTCGATTGCCTCCAGTCCTGAGCGCGGCGCCGACGGAGACCTTATTGCACCGAATCGACCACCCTGACTACGATCCTCCAGATCGATCGGGCTCGGGGTGGCCGGCTGGGCTACCCCGGCTGCTCGCCAGGCTCTGGGCCCTCTTCTCCAGCGGCCCCCCCGCCCCCTCCTCGCGCTCGCTCGCAGGCGAACGGGGATTCCCTCGACCTCTGCTGGCTGCCGCTGTCGAGCCTCCTTCAGGGCCCCGCGGCGCAGCAGAGGTAGCTGCAAGTGAGGAGGCCGCGCCGCTGGCGGCAGACGAAGACGGCGCCGGCGCAGCAGGCATCAGAAGCTGTGGCGGCGGCGCAACACCACCTGACGGCATCCTGGACGCTGCCAGCAGCGCCTCGTGCTTCGCATTCACAATATTGAACTGCGAACCTAGGCTGTTTACGTTGCTGTCTATCCTCTGCTGGAACGCAACAAGGCTCTGCGACAGAGCCGATATCTGCGCTTGGACGACCGAGAGATCCACACTCTGTGTAGACTGCAACACCGTAGTCGGCGCTGGCTGCTGCTGCGACGGTGTCCTCCGCGGCGACTGCGGAGCTGTAATCGTAGCCGCCAGCACCTTCATTTCCGCTCTCCTGCGGCTGTCGCCATCTGTCGCGTCTTCGCCAGGGAGCGGGGGGAAGCGATTATGAAAAACCGCATGCGCAGGCAGCGCAGGGACAATGTTGAGGGGAGCAGCACCGCTGGACGTCGACTCCTCCTCCTCGTCTGCAGAAGTCACAGACGGCGACCGAGTTCTGGCATTCTGCCTCATCTGACCTCGACGACCTCCGCGTGACTGTCGGCGCCCAGGGCTCTGGGCGTCCTGCGCGTCGATCTGGGACTGGGACTGTCGCACCCACGGATCTCTCACCATTCCGTAGGCCGACGGGGGCTGCTGCTGCTGTGCACGATACTGTGCACTCGCCTGTTGCCTCTGCTGCCCAGGCCCGCGCGGAACACGTTGAGGCGCTTGTCCTCGGCCTCGGGGGAGCTGCGACATCTGATCTGGCATGCAAGACGAACAAAACTGGCACCCAAACGAGTTGACTGCACCACATATCTCACACAAACAATTATCCTGCATCGACTGCTGCTGCTGCGCTGAGGGATGATCCAAAAAACGGGACTGGGCAGCTGCTATTCTCACCAGCAGCCAGAATCCCACCAGCCCTCTGGGCGTAGGTGGTCTAGAGCAGATCCTCTTCCACCCCTCCCTCTTCCCCCTTGGGGAGGGGTTTACCCCTCCCCCTACCCCCTCCCCTGGACCTGGACGGGGGGGGCCGCTGGTAGTTAGAGCGTCCCAGATGGCCCAAGACGGCTCCAAGAGCGCCTCAGAGAACCCAAGATGAGCTCCAAGATGGCTCAAGATAGCGCAAGATCGCTCGAGATGGCTCCTAAGATGGTTCCAAGAAGCCCAAAGACGGCCCCAAGATAACTCCAAGTGGCCAAACAGCTCCCCAAGGAGGCCCCGAAGAGGCCAAAATCGTCCCAAAACCTAAGGAAAATCAATGATTTTTGCTTTCTCGCCTTTTCGCTTCCGATGGCCATCCGAGGCCTGGAGATGGCTCCAAGATGGCCCAAGAGGGCCCCAAGAGAGCCCCAAAAGAGCCCCAAGACGGCCCCAAGAGCGCCCAAGAGCACTCCAAGAGCGTTCCAAGAGGGGTCCAAGAGGCGATTTTAGGGGCTTCCGAGGGGGGACGCTAATTCACCCCCCCCTCTTGTTTGATCGACTCCCTCCAAGATGGCCCCAAGAAGCGCCCAGGAAGCCCCAAGAGGTCCCAAGATGGCCCCAAAATGGCCCCAAGAGGCCCCCAAGAGGCCCCCCGGAGGCCCCCAAGAGACCCCCAAGAGGCCCCAAGAGCCCCCCCAGATGCACCCAAGATGCTCCAAGAGGCCTCGGCGAGAATGCCTAATCATTGATTCTACACAGGTTTTAGCCACATGGAGGCCTCTTGGGGGGGGGCACGGATTAAGATGACTCCAAGAGCGTCTGGGAGAGCCCAAAATGACCTCCAAGATGGCTCAAGATATCCCAAGATGTCTCATAATGGCTTCCTCTGTGTGCTGCCCACTCCTCTGATCGAGGCAATTCCTCTGGGCATCGTTTCTGGATGGGCTGGTGGGGATTCGCGAAGCGACAACAATTCAGCCCTCCTCTGCCGAGCACGTCTGTGCCAGGCGCCTTCTGGAACTTCGCGCGGAACCGCGGCTGGCCGCACCACTGGCGGCGGGCACGCTAGGCTCGGTTCGATGGATCTTGGCTGGAAAGAATCAACGTTGCCGAAATCACATGGCTCCGCCAGGAAAGCCCTCTGGCGGTCCAACCCTTAGGAGGAGGAGGAGGACGAGGAGGAGGAGGAAGAGGAGGAGGAGGATGAGGAGGAGGAGGAGGAGGACGAGGAGGAGGTGGAGGAGGAGCAGGAGGAGGAGGTAGGAGGAGGGAGGAAGGAGGAGGAGGAGTATAGCCGGAGGAGGCTCAATCTGACAATAAGCCTTATAGGAGCCAAAAGAGTTACAGAGAGGGGAGGCGGGGGTGGAACAGAGGAGGAAAACCCGTAGAGCAAAGGAGTAAAAAGGGCAATGAGGGAGAGGAAGACAAGGGGGGGGCAAGAAGCCATGGGGGAAGGGACACGAAATAGGGCAGGCGGGAGGGGGGCGGATGCCGCAGGGCAGGGCGGAGGATGGCGGGGAGGGGTAATGAAGGAAGGTGCGCGGCATGGGGTATAGAGGTGAGTGGGGGATGGAAGAAAGTGTGTAGAATGAGTGAGAGAAGAGAGAAGAGGTGAGGCCGGGATGCAGCAAGAAGATGGTATAGAAGGCAGTAAGAAGGATTTATAGGAGGAGCGGGGTGGAAGGGGCGAAAGCTCGGGGAGAGGAGGCGGCGACGCGGCGGCATGAGGAGTAGGAGGACAGGAGGACGGAGAGCGGCGGGCGGTAGGAGGCTAGAGGGCAGGGGATGCGGATGAGGCTGCGGAGGAGGCGGCGGCGTCGAGGTTCGGGGCCTGCGGCGGCGGCGGGCTTGGCGGCGGCGAATCTGCGGGAGGCGCGGAGCAGTCGCGGCTGCGGCGGCGTCGTCAGGCGGCTTCGCGCGGCGGCGGCGACGCGCCCGCCTCGATGGAGTTGCGGTAGGCCATGAGCTCCTTTCGGGGGGCGAGGGAGGCAACGACGAGGGCGACGAGGACGACCACGCAGTTTCAGACATCAATGTGGGGGCGCCTTTGGCGGCGCGCACAAAGGGGGTATGGGGGAGGGGGGGACGGCACCTTAGAAGGCGGCTGCCGCCGAGAAGGCGCCGGCCGCCCTTTTAAGAAGTCAGGGGCGCGCCGCTTCTCAGAAGCAAGCCATCTGCTCCCTAGGAGCACGTCAGGAGCAGCTTCTAAGAATCAGCCACAAGCTTCTTAGAAGGGGCGCCCGTGCCTTCTAAGCAGGGTGCTTCTAAGAAGCCTTCCCCGTTTTCCCTACCCCCCTCTGCGCGTGTCCGACGCTTTCTGTTGCTGCTTCCTGTCGGCCTCCGGGGGCCCTCGCAGGCTCCATGTGCCGTCAAAGAGCGGCCCAGGACGAGACCTCCAGGGGCCGACGTTGAAAACATCATGACGTCGGGGGTCTGGGTGGCGGAGGCGGGTGAGGGGACGCCTTCGCCTGCTTCTTCTCCTCCTCGTCCTCCTCGTCCTCCTCGTCCTCCTCCTCCTCCTCCTCCTCCTGCTCTTCCTCCACCTCCTCCTCCTCCTCCTCCTGCTCTTCCTCCACCTCCACCTCCTCCTCCTCCTCTCCTCGCCTCTGCTTCTCCTCCTTGTCCCTGCTCGCCCCCGAGTGCGAGCCCACCGAGCGAGGGGCCCTTTGGGAGGCTCGAGGCCGATCTGTCGGCGGCTGGTGGCGACCTCGCAGCCAGGCCCGACGAGGCCAGACAGTGGCTGGCCGAGCTTCGGGCAGCTGCAGGCGGAGACCCAGCAGCGCCTTGCCAAAAAGCGTCTTGGTGCAGGAGGTGCCGTACACTCCAAGGCGGCGACGAGGGCGAATCGTTCATTGGGGGCATCCATGTAATATCCTAAGGCTCCGATGGTCAGGCCCACTACTTCGGCAAGGCCCCCTGGCGAATGCGAGTAACACAACCGTCCCTGGGCTACTCGCCCCTATGGTTGCCGTGGAAGCGGCTGGGAGGTCTGCGCTGGCGATCCAAATGAATCGGTTCGGCGGAAATCGGCAGCCAAGTCGGGAGGAGTCGAATCGGCGGAAATCGGCAGACTAGTATGCCCCCAATAAGAAACCGGAACCCACATCGGAATCTCTAGTCGACTCGAATCGGGATCGGAAGCCACCGACATCGAATCGAATCGGAGGAATCGAAACGAGCCCAGAGGGGGCGACGAGGGCAAACCCGCTCCGAATCGGACCCCAGACCCCGCCTGGGGCCGAAAGCATTGGCAAATTCTTCGGGCCGTGCCCAAACGTAGCGACGAGAAAGCCCCCTTCTCCAGCGACATCCGGCTGCTCCAATTTTTTCGATGCGTGAGCCCCGGAGGTCCGGACCACTTCCCCAGGACCGGTTTTTCGTCCTGAGTCATTGTGTGACGCTCCCGAGGCCCGGCGAGGGCCCCTGGAGGCCGAAAACGCCCCCAAACCGCCTGCTCCAATTTTGTTGGAGCGTCGGATCTCAGGGTCCCCCGCTCCTGCTGGCCAGAAGCAGCGCTGGGTCACCTCAGCCCCCCACAGCTGGTCCAGCCGCCGCCGCCGTCGCCGCTGCATGCAGGTGCCCATACCTCCGACGTCGCGATTTTTTCACAACGCCGACCCCCAGAGGTCTGGACCTCCTCTATCCTCCTCGCTCCTCGATCCTCCTCGTCGATCCTCCTCCTCCTCCTCCTCCTCTTCCTCCTCCTCCTCCTCTTCCTCCTCCTCCTCTGTTTCTTCTCCTCCTCCTCCTCTTCATCCTCCTCCTCCTCCTCTTCCTCCTCCTCCTCCTCTTCCTCCTCCTCCTCCTCCTCGTCGATCCTCCTCGTCGATCCTCCTCGTCGATCCTCCTCGTCGATCCTCCTCGTCGATCCTCCTCGTCGATCTTCCTCGTGGATCCTCCTCCTCCTCCTCCGCCGCGCGCTCGAGGGCACTGCAGCCTCGTGAAGCCCGGGGAAGGCCTGCGCGCCCTCGCAGCCGGCCTCGACGGATCAGAACCACCCCGAAGAGACCAGTCCCAAGACTGCCTGCAAGACTGCCAAGACGGTCTCCAGGATGGCCAAGGTAGCCTCCAAGACTAGACGCCTCCTGGATGGGGTCGGAGTGGATGGGGTCGGAGGACCGCGCAGCATCCCCGATGCAGCGGCGATGCACCGGCGACGTCGGCGGTGCCGATCGAACCGCATCACCGATGCATCGGCGATGAGGCGCGACATCTAGTCGGACCACATCCAGGAAGCCTAGAAAGATATCTCAAAGACGGCTCCCAAGTCGGACTAGACGACTCTGAGATGGTCCACAACCGCCTCAAGACGACCAAGAAGCCTCAAAGAGTCTCTCCAGGAGAGTCCGAAGATGAGTCAATCATTGATTCTCTTGAGGATTCGGAATGATCTGTTCATTCTCGCCTTCCCGGGCTTCCGACAGCCGAAGATGGCCCCAGAGGCATCCAAGAGAGCCCTAAGACGGGCCGAGAGGGCCCCAAGACGGCCCCAGACACATCCACGACTGCCCGAAAGCGTCCAAAGAAGACCCCCAAACAGCCAAATGAGGCCCCCAAGACGGCCTTCGAATGCCAAGAGGCCCCTTTGAGGCTCCCAGATGCTCCCAAGACGACCCCTCCGAGGCCCCCAAGAGACTCCTCAGAGGCCCCCCCCAAGGAAATTCCAAACAGGCCCCGAAGAGGCCTCCTCTTCCTCCTCCTCCTCATCCTCCTCCTCCTCCTCCTCCTCCTCCTTCCTCCCTCATCCCTTTCCTCCCTCTCCTGCTCCTCCTGCTCCTCCTCGTCTTCCCTCAACTGTTTCCCACAATGGCTGGAGATCACAACAGTCGAACATATCGGCCAGACTGTGGCCCAACGTTTGGCCACATAGGCGTTTCCAACAGGCAGGGGGCTGTGGTCTGCCGTAGGCATGTTCGATACCTCCTCCTCCTCCTCCTCCTCCTCTGAGCCTTCTCTTCCTCCTGATCCTCCTACCCCTCCCTGCTCCCTGGCGTCCTTGGAGCCGAAAGGGTAGTCGAGCGCGGCCAGCTGGAAGAGCACCACCCCCAGAGACCAGCTGTCGCAATTGGGGCCTCTGGAGATGACGGCACCGGCGACGACCGAGACGACGACGCCGCCGCGGACGAGGAGGAGGGTGGTATACATGGACCCTAGAAATGGCGCGCCACCAACCCAGCGCATCCCACGAGAGAGAGAGAGATTCAGAGATATACACTTGCATGCTTCAAGGATACTGGTAATCAGGGGGCCGGGACAATGTCAACTCGAGTGGCCAGTCCCACAAGCTGCGCACCACCGTTCGCGGAGGGGGAGGGCGCGTGAGAGGAGAGAAAGAGAGAGAGAGAGGGGGGGGGATGAGGGGAGCTAGCGCGGCCGCACCACACGCCGCTGCTGCTGAAACGCATCCTCTCGTCCCAAGCCTTCTCTTCACTAGAGTGCATGCTGTTTTGTGTTCAACCAGGTCCAACGCCTGGAGGCCTCCAAGATGGGGTCGGAGTAAATGGGGTCGGAGGATCGCGCCGCATCGCCGATACATCGGCGATGCATCGTCGACGTGTGTGATGCATCGGCGACGTCGGCGTGGAGGGAATCGGGGTCCACATCGAGCCGCATCGCCGATGCACCGGCGATGCGGCGCGACCCTCCGACCCCATCTACTCGGACCCCATCTAGGAGGCTTAGAAGGCCCGCCTGGGAGATGAGGGTCCCACGAACGCGCCACTGGATCCGGACCCGCCCGGGAGGGCTCAAGTGCATGCAGATTCCGATGGCCGGGGCCCCTGGAGGCAGAGGGCCGATGGTCGAGGGCGGCTTCCCAGACGTCCGGCTGCTCCAATTTTTGGGGGGCCGTGGGCCCCGGAGGTCCGGGCCACTTCCCCAGGGCCCGTTTCTCGTCCTGAGTGGTTTCTTGACGCTCCCGAGGCCCGGCGAGGGCCCCCGGAGGCCGAGAACGGACCAAGTCCCGCCGCCCCGATTTCTGTTGGAGCGTCGGATCTCAGGCTTCGCGCCCCCGCGCGGCCCCCCTGGGCGAGGGGAGGAGGAGGACGAGGGGGAGGAGGACGAGGACTCGCGAGTCGCGAATCGCTTCGCGCCCTCGGTGCTGGGTCGGGCCTGCCCTGCCACGGGCGGCTTTTGGAAGAGAAGCGACACAGAGTCGAAGCAGGGCCAAGCCAAACTAGTCACAATCAGTCAGAAAGTCGCCCCCAGACGTTTTTGTTGTTTGTTCTTTTGTTACTGTTTTTCTCTTTATTTATATAGATATAAACAAACCACCTATTTCTGAATATTCCTCCTGCAGGGGGACACGCCCGGCTTGACCCTCGTGGCGGCCGGTGGATGTGGTCCACTGGCGGAAGGGGCAGGGCTGGCAGGGTCCACGGCATGGTGAACCCGGTTGGCTCGGAGCATCGGCGGTGAAGCTGCGGGGCGGGGACGTATCCACATCCACCGCCTGGGGAGGAGGAGGAGGAGGAGGAGGAGGAGGAGGAGGAGGAGGAGGAGGAGGAGGGAACCGACGTCCTGGTGCCCCGGCGGGCGGCGGAGATGGATATTGTGGCCCCCGGGGGCCCGAATATGTTCATATCCACCGCCTGCCGAGGTCCCCGAAAGTTGCTCCTCCAGGCGGTGGTCGTGTATACATTCCTGCCTCGGACCAGCTACGACTCGACCGCACAGCGCGGCGAAGCTCTCTCCGATCGAAGAGGCGTCTGGGCCGCCGCCGACGCCGTGGCTGGCAGCGGGGGCGAGCGGAGCGAGGCCGCGACGTCGACGACACCCTGCGTGCATGCAGCTGCCCACCTGCAGGGCCAATCGGAGGTGGGGGAGAGCCCGCAGAGCGCTCGGTCGTGAACAGGGCGGCGTGCTCCATCCCTGGATCCGATGGAGGCGTCAAGATGCGTTAGAGAACGCGAGCAGCATTGGGTCGGGCATGTCCTCCTGCAGGCGGATGGTGCGAGAAAATGTTCAAAAAGTCAGGCAATAATCAAACATCATCGAACATGGAAGTGAAATCGTTCCCAGACGATTTTTACAATTTTTGGAATTCTCTGTCTGTGGAGGGACATGCCCGACTTAAAGAGTAGCATACCTGCCCTCCAAGCGTGCAACTGTGAATGTTGTCAAGCGCCAGGGTCACGCCACGCACCTAAGTAACATCTCAAGCAGTACCGCAACGTATTCACAAACTGCATGAACATAAACTTTCTCGGAGCTCCCCGCGAATCTCTTGGATCGGCGATGGACCCCCGTCCCAGGCGCGCGGAGCGCGCCAGGGGCGGCGCCAGAGACGCCGCCAAGAGAGCCCAGCGCAGCTCAAAGAAATCCGCGCGAAGCTCAGAGTGCTTATATGTCTGAGATCTGCCCTCAAGCCGCACAACCCGCCGAAGTCCTAAACCGGAAGCTCTCGCCGGCCCCCTTGCGATGCCATCAGGGCTGCGTGGGTGAGGCTGCAGCAGCTGAGCAGCTTACTTCTCATCAGCGCACTGCTTGCAATGACGGAGGAGGAGGAGGCGGAGGAGGAGGAGGAGGAGGAGGAGGAGGAGGGCGGCCGCGAAGTCTGAACTGGACAAGCAAGCCCCGAGAAACGTGGCCAATCACTTCCTGGGAAGCGAGCAGGGGGTCTGAGCTGGACACGCCCAGGAGCACTCGGCCAAAAGGCGGGCACTTCTGAAGGCGAGCTCGCTCAAAATCGGTCCCCGGACCCCTCCCGGGCCCGAAGCCGACGAGTTTGTCGAGCCGCGCCCACCCGTGGCAACGACAGGGCCCCTTCTCCCCTTCTCCCCACCGTTTTGCTGGCCAGAACCAGCGCTGGGCCACCTTGGCCCTCCAGCTGCCTCCAAGCCCCTCCAGCTGCCTCCGAGCACCTCCCCCTCCTCCACCTCCCTCCCTCTCCTCCTCATGCCTCCTTCCTCTCAGCCTCCTCCTCCTCCTCCTCCTCCTCCTCCTCCTTCCCCCTCCTCCTCTCCTACTCCTCCTCCTCCTCCGCCGCCTCCTCCTCCTCATGCTCCTCCTCCTCCTCCTCCTTCTCCTGCTCCTCTCCGCCTCCTGCTCCTTCCTCCTCCAACTCCCCCGCGTTCCTCGTTCCTACGTTCCTCGTTCCCGTTTTCCTGCGCTTTCCCATCCTCCTCCTCCTCCCCTCCTCCTCCTCCTCCTCATCCTCCTCCAACTCCTCCTCCTCCTCCTCCTCCTCCGCCTCCTCCTCCTCCTCCTCCTCCTCCTCCTCCTTCTCCTCCTCCCCCTCCTCCTCCCCTCCTCCTCCTCCTCCTCCTCCTCCTCCTCCTCCTCCGCCTCCTACCTCCTCCTCCTCCTCCTCCCCCCCCCCCTCCGCTCCGCCTCCGCCTCGCCCTCCGCCTCCGCCTCCGCCTCCCGCCCCCCCTTCCGCCTCCGCCTCCCGCGTCCTCACGCCCGTGTCGTCGTCGTCGTCGTCCGTCTCGTCGTCGTCCTCCTCCTCCTCCTCCTCCTCCTCCTCTCCTCCCTCCTCCTCCTCCTCCCTCCTCCTCTTTTCTCCTCCCTCCTCCTCCTCCTCCTCTTTCTCCTCCTCCTCCTCCTCCTCCTCCCCCCTCCCCCACCCCCTCCCCTCACCCTCACCCTCGGCCTCGTCCTCGTCTCGTCCTCGTCCGCGTCTCTCCTCCCTCTCCTCCTCCTCCTCCTCCTCGTCCTCCTCGTCCTCCTCGTCCTCCTCCTCCGTCCCTCCTCGCTTCCTCGTCCCTCGTCCTCGTACTCGTCCTCGTCCTCGTCCTCGACCTCGTCTCGTCCTCGTTCCTCGTCCTCTTCTCCTCGTCCTCCACCTCCGCTTCCTCCTCCTCACTTTCTCCCTCCTGTCCTCCTCCTCCTCCTGATTCCTCCTCCTCCTGTTCCCAACCACGTCTTTCTCCTCCTCCTCCTCCTCCTGTTCCTGCTCCTGCTCCTGCTCGTGCCCCTCCTGCTCCTCCTGCTCCTGCTCGTACTCTTCCTGCTCCTCCTGCTCCTCCTCCTCCTCCTCCTCGTGTTCCTCCTCCTCCTGCTCCTCCTGTTCCTCCTGCTCTTCCTCCTCCTCCTCCTCCTCCTCCTCCTTGCCTTCCTCCTCCCACTCCTTTTCCTGCTCCTCCTGCTCCTCCTGTTCCTCCTCCTCCCCCTCTTCCCTCTTCCTCCTCCTCCTCCTGCTCCTCCTGATCCTCGTCGCCAGTCCCGCGCGTGTCCTGAACCGCGCAAGCCCTGTGGAAAGAGAGGGAGGCAACAGCGAGAGCACGCGCGGCTGGGTGCCGACCGTGGGTCCGGCCGCCCAGCATCTCTGGCGCCATCGTCCTGGCAAGAGACCAGCGGAGGAAGGCATTATTTGGCGGCGCGCACAAGGGGGAGGAGGAGGACGAGGAGAAGGAGGAGGAGGAGGAGGAGGAGAAAAAGGAGGAGGAGGGGGGGGAGAGGTAGCGGAGAGGGCTTCTTAGAAGGAGGCTGCTTCTTAGAGGGCGCCGGCCTTACATCAATGGAGAAGGCCCGCGCCTTCTAAGAAACAGGGGTGTTTCTAAGAAGCCCTGCCCCCAGCCCCCTCAGTGCGTGGCTGAATTGTATGAGACTAGAATGTGAAGTGATGTGTGAAAACGGCTGGTTTCTGTAGAGCGAAATAAGCTGGCTTGTGCACAAAAACTGTAAAGCGGGCGCGGTGCCTGGCCAGACTGAAGTCAAACGCCCATGGCCGCACCCTGCTAACCCGCTTCCCTGCTATGCTACAGGTACTGACGTTGTACCGTTCGAATCTTGTGTTCCAGAGGATCTGTCGTGTCTCGCTGGTAGCCTGGACGCAAGCCGTGCAGACCACCAACAAAGCACACGGACAAACTATACACGGTTGTGGCGTTAGGCAGCACGGAGTATGGTTTCTGCTGCCCCCCTCATTAAAAAAATCACAGTGCCTGGGAACCTTCTACTGACCAGGTTCCTTGAAGAAAGCAGCCGTGGCTGGGGTCCTTCTGCTAACCAGGCCCCTCGTAGACAGTTGCTGTCGAAACTGAACCGAAAAGGCTGGCAGCAAGCAGACTATGGATGGAGCACAACATAGACGATTCGAGTGCCCAGCGCGCATCGGCCTGCTGCCCCGCGAACGCAGTTCGCGGAGACAACCCCTCACTGGCATGGCTCACTACGTCGCATGCTCGAACGTAGTTCGCGACGTGCGAGTCTCGTCGCATCTCTCTCCCTGGTGCTCTGCATGCGACGCCGAGTTGATCACCTGCCGTCGTTGTCCTTGTTGACGTTGCTGTAGCTGGAATTCGGCGCTCTCATTTTTGTGGCGTTCTTCGCTAAGCCTCACCGCGGCATGTGCGTGGGCGAGCCCCCCCTCCATGATGTCGAGGATGAGCTCCCAGCCGATGCCCCCCGTCGTCATGGGGTCGGCCTTCGTGTCGCAGGTGTCGCACCGCGGCATGTCGGATAGCTTTTTGGCGCGCAGCTGGTCTGATAGCCACCGTGAATGGCCTGCCGTGCTCATCTCTGACGGCGGCCGCGCGCGGTTCATGGCCAACGCGAAGAAGACGGGCGCCCCGTCTACAACCAGCTCAGCTGGCGCGGCGCAACCTCCCGATCTCTGCGAGCGCCATCTCGTGAAGCGTGAGGATGCGTGCCTGCGGGCCGTCTGCTGCTCGCGCGCTGCGAGCAGCTCGGGGCCCGGTAGGGATCTACGCGCAACTTTGAATGATCGGCTCGCAGCGTCGAGCAAGTGGCAGATCTGTTTACCAGCGCTGCGGCACTTGCCCTGACGTACGTACGCGGCGCCTCTGATACCGCATCCTGTCTCTCCTCCTCACAATTGAAGAAGCCGTCGCTGCGCGCGCAGATCCAGCCTGCGCGCTCCATCGCCGGGAAGGCGGCGCGCGCTTCGATCTCCTTCGCTTCCAGAACAGCGGCGTTGAGCTGCGCGGCGCGCCTGGCCCGTTGAAGCGCGACGACGCAGGCGGCCGCGTGGCGTTGCGCGAGCAGCGCGTAGGCAGCTGCTCCGAAGAGGGAGACAAAATGTTCGGGAGTGGACCTCTGGCCGGCTCGTCGACCCTCGATCAAATCAGGTCGACGCGCCTGGCGGGGATCGGCGCGTCGATGCAATCGTTGTGGTCGAGCGTCGCTGCGCCGTCGGCGCTGCAGCGTTGGTGGGCACCGCAGTTGGTGAAGTCGTCGTAATCGCCCTTCACTTTGCCGAAGGCGCTCTCGACGTGGCCGACGAGGCGGTCGACGTGCTCCGCGCATCCTACGATCTCGAGATCGTCGACGCGCCTGGACAGCGCGAGCGCCAACCCTGAGAGGCGGGCACCCCATGTGCCGGACACCTCGTGCTTGACCTCGAGCTCCGGGCTCTGCCGCGTCGGCTTGGCGTCGCAGTCGGGCGAGCGCGCGACCCGGGCGAACTTCGCGCAGTGAGCCCTGGGTGCGCCCTTGCAGCCTGTGCCCGGCTTGATCAGCGCAGGCGCTCGGCCCGCTCGTCGAAGAACTCGCAGCCTTGGACCTGTCTGAGTATGGCCGCGCTGCAGGGCGGCAGGTTGAAATTCACCTCTCTCGGTGCGTCGCCCTGCTCCTGCATCTCGGCGTGGGTCATGCCCCGCGGGGGCGCTGTCTCGACGTCCACGGTGACGCGCGCCCAGTCTGGGCGACCGGCCGCATCTGAGGACAGAATGCGCCGAGACGTCCGTTTCGCCGCACTTGCGAACGTCGCCAGAGCTCTGGCGCCCATGTCGCGGAAGCTCCTCAGTGCTGTTCGGCGCCGGATGGTCATGGCGGTCTTGCTGTCTAGTCCCTTCCAATACATCCACTTGAACGCGTGCCTGGAGTCCGCGAAATCCCAAGCGCCTTCGAGAGGGCGTCGCCCGAAATTCTTGTATTGGACCAAGATGGTGAGCTCCTCGACGATGGCGGCGTCCACCTCCGTGGCAAGCCTCGATAGCTCCCTTTTGGACAAGAGATCGGCAGCGCGTTGTACTTCTGCGGTCTTGACGGCAGCGTAAAGTTTCAGTGTGGGCGTGGTGGGCTTGCCGGCAACGTAGTTGCCCTCGTGACAGCGCAGAAATGCTGCTCGCACTCCTGGGTCCAAATGTAACTCCACGTGTTTTCCGATTTCCTCCTCCTCCTCCTCCTCAGGATTGGCATAGTCAGTCCAAAAAGGCACCGCGCAGGTAGTGGTGACACTGCGCGTGGATGTGCTCACGTTGGTGTTGGGTCGCCAGGTGATGGGGCCATTCGTGCGGTCTGCGGCCTATGCTAGTGGTCGCGTGCCCGACAACCGCGTAGATCATCAGCTGGTTGTCGGGGCCCTCCAGCTCCTGCAGCTCCTGAGTCAGATCTTCAGCGCCGTCGACCTCCTGCCAAACTGCCAACATCACCCGTTGGATGTGGCCAGAGAAATCGTTGTCGGTTTCGTCGGGGATGACCGACAAGGCCGATGGTGGACCGCCCTCGGTGACGCTGGCGGCGTTCTCGGGAACGTCGATGACGCAGTCATCGAGCGTCCTGTCCTGGTCGTGACCGGCGTCGGCTGCCAATGGCTGTTCGTCACCCATGACAAACTGGGTGATGCGAGCGCCATTCCACTGCTCGCCGATGAGGCAGTTGGGCGTCGAATTTAGCGCCGCCCAAATGCAGCTGGTTGGCGTCGCGTTACCCACGGGGACAACGAGTGTAATAATACGAATGCTACGCGAACAAGAAAAAATACTTACAGCAGGGGTGTAGTATGAGGTAAGGCTGATGACTAGAGTAATCAATGATGACAGCGTTAATGCTGCTACTCATGATAAGAAGAAGATAGTAATTACGGTTGGCACTTGGCCCAATGGATAACAATTCGGCCTCGCCGCCCCCCGCCGCCGACCAAAGGTGCCTTGGCTGGAGCTCGTCCACACCGGAAGCTATCATTATCTGGGGCACGGGGGTACTCGCAAACGGCCTGGATCCGCCGCAGGGGATTTGGGGTCCATTTCAACGAGACGACCATTTTTTGTGATCTGACAGTGGGCACTTTCCGAGCAATGGAACGCGCTCGGTGAGCATGGGAGGGAACGATCAGAGAGCTAACCCTGCCAGTGATCCGCAGGATGGAGACGATTTATGTTTCACGAGAGTTGGATCGTATGTCAACGCCTGGGTCGAGAAGGCAACGGATGAAGAGAGGAGGTACGCCAGAGAGGGTACACTCACGGGTGGGCCTCGCCAGGCCCGGTGGACCGTCACAGAACGGCTCGCCGAGGGATGAGGAACCGGCCCCCCGGGAACCCAAACATCCGGCTCCAGTTTTTTCGATGCGTGGGCCCCGGAGGTCCAGACCACTTCCCCGGGACAGGTTTTGCATGCTGAATCGTTTGTTGGCGCTCCCGAGGGCCGGCGAGGGCCCCCGGAGGCCGCCTCCTCTTATGATCCACTACCTTCCCCCCTGCCCCTCGCCTCCAGTCCCTGCCCTCGCTCTGCGAGTGCTTTCGGGCTGGCCTCGGGATCCCTGACATGAGGGTGCTCGTTTCTGTAGGTGTACCACTGCTCGCTCGAAAACATCCACCGACCACGAGAGGCCAATGCGCCGCCTGGCGCGCAGCAGGGCCGCCAGAAGTGCACTGTAGGTGATTGTCCCACCATCTGGCCAGTGCACCTCCGATCTTTCTTTGCTCCTTCTTTCTTCTTCTTTGTTTTCCTCTCTCTCTCTCTCTTTTTGTGTCTCTCGCTCTCTCTCTCTCTCTCTCTCTCCCCGAACCGAATGAAACCAAACTGCGCCCAATGTCCAGCCGGATCGGACCAGATCAGGCCGGGGATCGACGGCGGACGTCGCAGCGCCAATGCCGAAGCTGACCTCCCGGGAGCTGCGGCCGAGCCCGAGGGAGGACTGCCCTCGGCCTCGGCACGGGCACGGCGCAGGGCTGGACCGGAAGGCTGTCTCTCGTTCCGGTGTCGTCGTTGCGTGTTTTTCGGTTTGCGGAAGAGGTGCGCCCTCGACCGGCGAATCAACAAGTTTTTCGGTTTGCTCGATCACAGTGCGGGCGCGGCCGCAAGAAACCCTCGCAAGACAAATCCAACCCTGAGAACCCGCGCGCGAGGTGCACCCGAGGGGAAACCTGGAGCACCCTGAACGCAGCAGCCCCTTCAACGGCTGCGGGAAGTCACCGCGCAGCGCGAGGAGCGAAGAAACCCAGGATACCCTGACGAAAAGCATATGGTTTCTTGATGCGCGCCCCCACTGTACACTGCCTTGGTGTTCGCTTTGTTTTGTCTGTCGTCTTGCTGTTGTTTTGTCTGTCCGTTTCGTTGCTCGCTCTGTCGTTCGTTCTGCTCGGCCCGTTTTCCGGTGCGTCTCCCTGCCAAGACGAAGAAAAACAGAGCACAGCCGACGTCCAGCAGAGCAGCGCTCAGTGGAGGGGCCCTGGGACACACCAACAAATAGACGCACGCAACAGGATCCCCCACCTTTTCCCACTCTCCGGTTTTTTGTTGGTCTTCCCCGCCACCACTTCCCACCTTTTCCCATAATCTTCGGGGGGATCGACGACTGATGACAGTCTGTGTGCTTTTTTTTCCCTTCGGATTCATGTCCGGCCCTGCCTGGTGCGGACCGGTCTTCCATCCCGACCCCCAGCCGAGGAAGAGGAGGAGAGAGAGGGGGGGAGGGGAGGGGAGGAGGGAGAGGGCTCATCCTCCTCCTCCTCCTCGCCCCCTGTGATTTTTTCACAACGTCGAGCCCCAGCGGTCTGGATCCTTTCCCCCGGACCGGTCTTCCATCCCGAATCGTTTTCTGACGGCCCCGAGGCCCGGGCAGGGCCCCCGGAGGCCGAACAAATAGCGAAAAACCCTCCCAGACCCCCAGAGATGAAACAGAGTTCCGGGCCAGAGTTGAATCAGAGTTGGAGCACAGTATTCTTAGAGTTTTTTGCATTTGATTTGTTATGCTATAGCTTGCCTCCAGGACACAGGCTCAGGTCTGGACCCTCTCCCCCGGACCGGTCTTCTATCCCGAGTCGTTTCTTGACGGCCCCGAGGCCCGGGCCGGGCCCCCGGAGGCCGAAGAGATGGCGAGAAGCCCGCCCGTCGTGGCCTTTGCGCAGCGCGAGGAAGGCTGGGCTCCTCGGTCCGAATGTGGTGGTGGCGGGGGTGCCCACGCGGCCGTCGCCGTCCCCGCCGTCAAGACTTTTCTGCGGGTGCTGCCCCCCCCCCCCCCCAATTGTTGTCCTCCACCCCCCCGCCTCCCTGTCGTTCTTCCCATCTGCATCCCTCGCATCTCTTCCGTCTCCATGTCGTCCTCCCCCACTGCTCGTCGTCCTCCACCCCCAAACTTGGTCGTCGTCCTCCCCATCCGCATCCTCTCTCGTCGTCCGTCTCCTGCCGCCTTCCCCCATGTACGCGTCGTCTTCCACAGCTGCATGTCTCCTGCCGCCTTCCCCCATGTACGCGTCGTCTTCCACAGCTGCATCCTCCATCGTCGCCCTCTCCCCTCCTCGCCCATCCTCCTCCCCCATCGTCTCCGTCGGGCCACCTCTTCCGTCTCTTTGTCTGCCTTTTTCGCCGCCCTCCTTGCCGTCGTCCTCACCTCGCTGGTCCCCCACTCCCCTTTTCCTCGCAGGAGGGGGAAGAGGAGGAGAGAGAGGGGGGAGGGGAGGGGAGGAGGGAGAGGGCTCACCCTCCTCCTCGCCCTCTTTCCAGAACCCCGACGTCGTATCTTTTTCACAACGTCGACCTCCAACGGTCTGGACCCTTTCCCCGGGACCGTTTTTTTAATCCTGAGTCGTTTTTTGACGGTCCCGAGGCCTGGGAGGGGCCGCGGGGCCCCCGGAGGCCAAAAATTGGGAAGAACCTCCCGTCGTGATTCTTTCACGACGCGAGGGGGTCTGGGTGGCCGCCTTGGGGGAACTCCGCCACGCCTCGGGCCCTCCACCAGGCGGCGGCGCGAGGCAGCGCTGGCCGCGCCCGCCAGGGTAGGCAGAGAGGCCCCGCCCCTTGCACAGAGGAGGCCCCCCTGAGCAGCCACCGTCCCCACGACTGAGCAGCCTCATCCTCCTCCCCCCCCTTCCTCCCCCCCTTCTCCTCCTCCTCCTCCTCCTCCCCATCCTCCTCCTCCTCCTCCTCCTCCTCCTCCTCCTCCTCCTCCTCCTCCTCCTCCTCCTCCTCCTCCTCCTCCTCCTCCTCCTCCTCCTCCTCCTCCTCCTCCCCCACTGCTTGTGTGAGGCCGCTGCCGTCGTCGAGATCGGCCGGTCGCCCCCTGCCGCCAGGCGGGGGCGGGTCGTCAGGCGCCAGTGCCGGCGCGGGGCCCTCCGGGCGCCGAGGTCGCGGGGCGCGCTCGCCGAGTTCGAGGCGTGGCGTGGAGCGAGGGGGGGAGTGGAGGGCGAGGAGCGGCGCGCGGGAGGAGGAGGAGGAGGAGGAGGAGGAGGAGGAGGAGGAGGAGGAGGAGGAGGAGAGGAGGAGGAGGAGGAGGAGGAGGAGGAGGAGGAGGAGGAGGAGGAGGAGGAGGGAGGAGGAGAAGGGGGAGGAGGAGGAGGTGGAGGAGGAGGAGGAGGGTGGAGGAAGGAGGGAGGAGGAGGAGGAGGAGGGTGGAGGAGGAGGAGGAAAACGGAGTAGAACATTCTTCCTCACGAGCGGATCGCAAGCGGAAGCTGCCGGGATGGGGCTGCGTCAGGGAGGCTGGACGACCCACAACAGCGCAGCCTGCGGGCCAATTCAGCCACGCGGCTCCTGGGTGCGGAGGAGGGCGACGAAGAGAAGCGAGGAGGGCTACAGTTAGGTCGTGCGTGTCCCCCTACAGGCGGATTTTGGACCAAAAATTAAAGATGCCCCAAAATACCCCCAAAAATAATAAAACATAGTGAAACAACTCGTCCCCAGACTATTTTTTGACTAATTTTTGCAAATTCCTCCTGTAGAGGGACAGGCCCGACTTAAGACTACAGTCGGGGCGTTGACCTAAGGAACCCTGAATAAGGAACGAGGCCTCTTTCTTTCCTGAGTTGGGCTTCGGTGTCCTATAGGGAAGCCCTCGGCAATACCCGAGGCAAACTGGAAAACAATCGAGGAGCATCGGGCCCCTCCCGAGCGAAACAGGTTCCTTCTTCAGCGCCCCGACTCCACGGCCCGCTCTTGTCGCGGCGGCGTCGAGGTTGGTCTCTGGCGCCGCGCGGAGCGCTCGCTTCCTTGAGCGCTCGCGGCCTTCCGAGTCGGCATCGAGGCCTGTCGATGCCGGCCGGCTCCCGGCGCAGCTCGCGGAGCTCCCGGCCCGGAGCGCCCGCGCGGGGGGTCGCCGCGGCGTCGACGCGACACGGGCCTGCAGTCGGGGCGATGAGCTGAGGAACCCTGAATAAGGAACGGGGCCCTTTGTTTTCCATAAGTTAGGCTTCGAGTTTCCATCGAAAGCTTAAGGAAATCCTCGGGCGAGCTGTAATACAACTGAGGAGCACTGAGCCCCTCCCGAGCGAAAAGGGTCGGTCCTTCTTCAGCGCCCCGACTGTACCGCATGAGGGTGGAAGCGGCGGGCGAGAATGGAGCGGAAGAGGACGGCGAAGACGAGGTTTGGCAACGATTCCGAGCTCCCCCCCCGTGCGACTGCAGTGGAAACAGACGAGGCGTGCGGCCGGTCCAGAGGGTGCCGCAGTTGGTCTCTCTCCTGGCGGCGGTGCTGGCCAGCTTCGATTCGTCGTCGTCGTCCTCGTCGCCGTCGTAGTCGTCGTCGGCGGCGTCGTCGTCGTCCTCGTCGTCGAACCCGATCACGCTCTCATCCGTGACACCCTTGCCCTCCACCTGATCCTCGCTCCTGCTCCTGCCCCCCCCAGGATCCACGCTCCTCCCTCCCCAAGACTCACTCTCCTCCTCCTCCTCCTCCTCTTCCTCCTCCTCCTCTTCCTCCTGCTCCAGCTCTCTCGCTCCCGCTCCCCTCGAGGAGGAGGAGGAGGAGGAGGAGGAGGAGAAGGAGGAGGAGCAGCAGCAACAGCAAGCAGCAGCAGCAGCAGCAGCAGCAGCAGCAGCAGCAGCAGCAGCAGCAGCAGCAGCAGCAGCAGCAGCAGCAGGAGGAGCAGGAGCAAGGAGGAGGTGGGGACGAGCACCGGGGGCGGGCAGAGGTGGCACGAGGGGGGGGGAGCGGGAGCGCGAGCGGGACGACGCCGGGGGTGAGCGGGAGGAGACGAGCGGGAGAGCCGAAGCGAGCCAGGCCGAGCGCGCGAGGCGTGCGCGCCCCGCCGAGGAGCCCGCCCGCGCCCCTCGGGGCGCGGGCGGGCTCTCGAGCGGCCTCCGCAGGAGCGGGCGGGAGCTCGACCACGCAGGCGGAAGCCGCGCGCACGAGGGGCCGGCTGGCCGCTGATCGGCCGAGCCGTGGAACGGAGGATGGGCGGAGGGGGGGCAGCAGGGGGATGATGGGGCGGAGGAGGAGCGAAGCGGACGGGGGACGAGGAGGACCAGCTGCCAGCAGCTTGAGCAGGAAGGGGACAGGAGGGTGAGCCCTCTCCCCCCCTCTCTCTCCTCCCCTTCTGCCTCGTGCGAGGAAAAGGGGAGTGGGGGACCAGCGAGGTGGGGACGACGACAAAGAGGGCGGCGAAAAGGGCAGACAAAGAGACGGAAGAGGTGGCCCGATGGAGACGATGGGGGAGGAGGATGGGCGAGGAGGGGACAGGGCGACGATGGAGGATGCAGCTGTGGAAGACGACGCGTACATGGGGGAAGGCGGCAGCAGACGAAGACGAGGGAGGATGCAGATGGGAAGGACTACAGTCACATTTGGGAGGTGGAGGACGACGAGCAATGGGGGAGGACGACATGGAGACGGAAGAGATGTGGGGGATCCAGATGGGAATAACGACAAGGAGGCGGTGGTGGAGGACAACAATTGGGGGGGGGGGGGGGCAGCACCCGCACCCGCACCACCACCACCACATTCGGACCGAGGAGGGCGTCTAGGGCGGGGCGGGGACTAGGAGGATGAGCTGCAGAAGGGCAGGAGGGAGGTCGAGGGGGAGGAGGGCTGTCGCACTCGCCGTCGCCGCCGTCGACGAAGGCGCGGTCTTTGATCGCAGATGGGCGATCGAATCGAGTGCCGCCCCTGCGACATCGGTCGGATCGACAGATGCCGCGCGCACACCTCGGCACGCATCATCGAGGCGATCGGGCCGCGGACGGTCCTGTCACATCCTCCTTCCCCTCCTCCTCCCCCTCCTCCTCCTCCTCCTGCTCCTCCTCCTCCTGCTCCTCCTCCTCCTCCTCTTCTTCTGCTTCTTCTTCTTCTTCCGCCAGAACAAAAGAAAACTACATAGACATAAACTGTTCAGGTCCGCACGAATTGTTTGGGTCTGCGCATGGAGCACCCCTCTCCGGCACGCGGAGCGTGCACAGGGCCAGCGCCGATCCCAAGAGGGTCCAGCGCAGATCCGAGAAATCCGTTCGGACCTCCGACAGTTCATGATCATGCTGTCTTATCTTCTTCAATCCTCCTCCTCTTACCTCCTCCTCCTCCACCTCCTCCTCCTCTTCCC